CCCTTCTGCGATACTGCCATGAACGTGAAAGTCTGCCGAGGTGCTTGTCAGCACCAGCTTCCACCAAGACGATGACGGTTTCCAAGTACCCCTGCGAATTGAACTGACTCAGTGTAAGGCTTCAACGAGGGCCACCAGCTGACAACAGGTTCTAGTGGTGCCGCAAGCGGCTCGGTAAGCCACACCTGGAGAACAACTTGAATGCCTTGGTCGCTTCTTGTTTGGCCCCTGCAGTAGCAGATGGAAATCCTTTTGGCATCAGACTTCAGGTAACAGGGCCTGCTGCGCTGCAAAGAGTAATGGCGTTTCTCCCCTCGTTGTAGCCACGTCAGCTTCGGCGCCTTCCTGGCAGAAGCTCACAGTAGTTTGCCGGCAAATGGCGGGCAATGCCAGGCAAATGCAGACAGGCAAAACACACGATCATGAACTACCAGTAGATGACAGTTACGAAGACTGGCCTCGATCATTGTTCAGAATGAAACAACAACTGCATGACCTCAACCGAAGCGGCAACGTACCTTGAGAAGGCAGCGAAGCACTTCGGTGTGACCATTCCGTGCAGCTATGTGCAACGTCGTGGTCCCATCCTCCGGTCAGACACTTCAGAAGACTTCTGCGACTCCCCTCACTAGAAGCCGCCAAAGCCCCCCTCATGTCGCAGCTTAAATCAAAGGCCTCGCCAACGACCCCGTCGCCGCTCTTGGATCCCAGAGCTGGCTTCGCTGGCTCCTGTCAAATCTTCTGCACAGACCAAAGGGGCCTTGGGCCTTGACGGTGAGCTTGGATATGGATGTCTTCCTTGCGGGAATACTCCTACCTTCGCTTCGGTGCCTATCGATCTATCGTGAGTGGTATCTTCTCTCTTGTCTACGCCCAGATGCCAGATTGGAGCGCATGGATGGGTTGCTTGTACACCGCACACAATCATGTCAAACTGCATCCTGCTGTGCAGGAAACATCTGGCTGACCTGGTTTCTTTCGTAATTTTTAGATTTCGACCGCCGGATCCGGAGGCAGCATCTAACTTCGAAAATTCATGAGCTGTGTGTCTATTCGCCCACTGGACCGGGTCCTTCACACAGCTGGAAGTCGGTGCGGCACGCAAGCCCGGCACCGACCGTGCAAATGCCTTCAATGCCGCCCATGAAGGCATCGCGCCAAGCAAGGTCAATGTTGGGCCTTGTACACCTTGCTCTCTCCTGGGGTTCGAGAACTTTATGTACACTTATTTGTGCCTGATTGGATCATAGCTGAAGCATCTTGCAAATCGGCCTTGACATACTGCTCTGTCTTTAGACGTCCCTCATGTCACAAGTGGGAGTACATCCAACAGTATAAGTCATTGAGCCTGCAATGCTAATGCTCGACAGGCACGATCTCAGCTAGAGCTATAACAAGCCAGCCTATCATCCCCAAACTTCCAGTTTGGCAAGATTGCAACCGCAGCATCAAGCTTCCAAGATGCTTGGCCAGCAATCCAAAGTTGCTGTTGCCATAGCGTAGGTGTGCCAGGATAACTGAATGATGAGTCTGAGTGCAGTCCAGAATGCGCAGCCCAAGGCCATACACCACACATCTGTTCCCCTTCAATGTGGAGCTTCTGTCAAGCAAGGCAGCAAGGAATTGCGATCCATTATGTACTCTGGTCAGGAAAATATTTTGTAATATCATATACTTCGTACAGTTCGTGAAGTCTACACTCTACTACCACAGATGATTCCTCCCCGATTCGCGACGACTTCTTGGGAGTATCGACGACCTCGAAACGCCAGCACTGCCCGTCCCTTGCCTCGTTTATTCTCTCAAACTCCGCACGGAAGCTCCCTGATGTTTGATGACTGCGGCGTGAGCCTTCGTCTAGAGCCGTTTTCAGAGCTCTTGGCTGCCCTCGGGGCTGCAGAAAGAGCGCCACGTGGTGATAAGTCGATGCCCAAACCTCTGAACTCGAGCAGTCCTCAGCCTGGTCGTAGAGAAGTGCATATATTCATATCATTGTATATCTGAATACACACCATGCATATGACGACCTGCATGTATGAACACATAGGATGCAGAGGCGTTCACCTGTGTGCAGCGAGAGGCCCTGTGCAAATGGAGAGAGAAAGAACGACAGACAGACAGAAACATAGAAAACAAGAAAGAAAGAACGAAAGAACAACTGTCAAGGGACGGGACTGCATTTTGCATTCAGTCCGCTATCACGGCATGCGCCCGAATGTTGTGTCACGCTCACCACATGTGTGTATATGCATATGTACATGTCTATGTAGACGTATGTGTGTACCATGTGCCTTTATGTATATATATATATATATATGTATGTATGTATGCACGTACGTATGTATGTATGTATGTTGGTATGTATAAGTACTCACATACATATGCATATGCATGTGCTGTGGGATAGACAAGTACGCTGTGTATTTGCCACATATGCTGCTGGCTCCATGCCACCATGAATCCGCGAACGCATGGATTGAGCTGCATTGCCCTGCTTTACTTTACAATATAAACTCTCTTGTATATTGCTAAGCTGCTACGAGTACATGGCAACAAGTACATGGCACTAACACATACATGCAGGATCATGAAGGCATACATGCATGATGCTAACATGTATGTGTGTACCCGTGTATATACGCATATGATACGGATAGAGATCATACATGCATATACGTATGCAGGGATACGTATATGAACAGTTTGTGAAGCACATGTCAAACAAATTCAAGCGTGATCGAATGGTAGTCTGGCGAGTCAAGGGTATATCCCCGAGGATCCTAGGGGTCTGGGACCGGGTGAAATGCAGGCGGTTGGAAGATTTGTGCGAATTGGCACCGAGGATCTTTGAACAGCCAGTTGCTGACTTCGGAGACGGGAATCACCACAACCGCCTAAGTTTAAACAAACTTGACCTCAGTGCGATCAGATCCTCTGGCAAGGGACGAGCCGCGGCAGAGGGACTTTCCACACTTCGCCTGGCTTTCAGCCACCGTCTGCGCAGCCGAATTTCGATGGGACAACGATTGCGCAGCCCTTGGAGTACCTGTCTCCACAATAATTCGAGGAATTCTGAACCATGCAATCAATTGCACTAGAACGGGCTGGCGGTAGTACTTGGTGCAGAATGGCTTTATGCTGCAGACCGCTCGAAGGGCCACCTAACTCGAAGCTACCGAGTAAGCCACGCCACGCCTAGAGGTGCGTGAATGCAAAAATCTCGTCCCTTATGTTCAAATTTGCTGTCCGCCACGAATGCAGCCAGGCTGGCGGTGCAAGCATATGTAGGACTGCAAGAACCGTTCCAGCTAAGTGGACAATTGGAGCTGAGAACGTGCAAGATTTGGATCTTCATGTCGGTGCCCCTGAAAACAGCGCAGGGACAGCAAGGACGGGACACAAACTACTTCAGAGCCTCAATGGTGCTTTGGCGCCTAGCGCAGCACTCTGCCACATCAGCTTAGGTCTCGTGGCTCTGCTCCGGACGCGCTCACTTTGACTACGATGACTCAGACCCCGTAAAGTCTCAGTGAGGATGCGGCTTCAAGTGTCAGAGTAGGCTGCAGCATGGCAAGTGTCTGACCCGGCCCGGATCTGCACCGCACCATGCGTTAATGAAATGTCTGCGCACTGCATAACCTACACATCTGCAGATCGTACGGGCCGACTCGAAGGCACTCTCACTGACGAGGCCGGAACTTAGCGAGAGTGCGTAGTCGCACACACGCAGGCAACGAAACGAGGGCACAGCAGGCCTGGCCGAACATCCCAAAGTACGCGCCACAGGCTTTCTGCTATGCTTCTTCCTGTTGTTCGGGTCCTTGTGGTCGATGCACACCTTTGGCACCCTTGCAGGTGCTGGGCCTCGTGCGTGCGTGCTAAGAATTGGTTCTGCGCGGATGCTGCAGTTGTCCACAACGAGTCTACACGAGAAATCTCGAGAATGCTGTATTGGCAGTTGCAAGCCGACAAGCGCGAACACGGCGCCAAAGGACAGGGCTTAGTCCCAGACCTGGCTACCTGGCACATCTCTTCGAAAGATTTCTGGCCAACCTCGGATGCTATGTCACTCAAGTCAACAGTCCGGAGGAGACACGGGAAATCTGTGGGTGCAAAGCATCGGTGCAACTTCAGTACGCTGTTTTTGTCAGTGCTCGCGATCGCCGGTAGCGAATTTGCTTTTGCTTCAGCATCCGAGGAACTGGCCTGAAGGAAAAGCACTTTTCCAAGGCATCTCCACAGACTTTTGACCAGAACAAGGCAAAGGCAAAAGCTGCTGGAGGACGTCCGACGTCCACTAAGTCCACTACCACTACATTCCGCTACGTCCTGAGAAAAGTCGGGAGTGTCAGGAGATCGCCGGGTGCTCCAGCCATGGCCTGGCACCTGCACAGAGTCAGGAGTCTTGGGCTCTCTGTCTCTCTGTCAGCGAGAGAGCCGAGGCACTCCACATCACTTGGACTGCCGTCATTTGGTCCTGGGGCAACTTCAGCCAGTACTGTAGCATGAGGACCTGTACTTTCGAAACCACAAGGCCGTGAGATCACCCGCAAGGACGGTCCGACTCGGACCGCTGTGACAAGCCGGAGACGAGCTCTGCCTGGCGGGTTCCCTGCTCCCCACTTTGCTCCAGGGGCTGGTCTTACTTTTACAACCTCCATCCCTTGCAGACTTCTGCGCTTCTCAACCCGTTGGGTTCTCGCCCTCGCAGGATCGATCAGGCTTTGCAATCATGCCCTGAAACCTGCACAAGAATACGAAGCTAGACTCCTCAGAATCTGCACTTGTGCCCACTTAATTCATCTGCGCAGAGCGAGGGCAATATAATCAGAGGTTGATCTCACGGCCTGCATGACTACGCGGGGTACTTCCTGGCAAGACCTGGACTCTCACGAGAGTTTCCCAGGCGTTGCCCGCACCATCGTTTTTGGCGGTTACATGTGGCGCAGAGCAATCCAACTGGGAGCTGTCGTTTCTTGAACCGGCTGTCTGGGTCAAACATGTCCCTGCCTTTGGCAGGCCTAGTTCAGCAACACGTTCCAGAAGCTTTTGCAATCCTGGACTTCAACTTGCTGGTTTCTCTGCCTTCCATGCTGATGCAAAGGTATTCTTTGCCGTGAAAGCGTCCATGCATCTCTGTACCTAGGTGTTCTGCATAAGCGCAGCACATTCCAACAGCATCTCGCGTCTCGCGCTAGCATTTCCCGACGCTTGGTCTTGGTGGGATGAATGCATCGCAAAAAATTAATACAAAACCGAGAGGGTCTGCCAATTAGCAGCGACCTTGTGTGTGCTGGGGATTGCGGGCTGCAATGTCTGTACAAGGGGAGTCAACTTTGGGACTCTTCCGCTGGGCCAAAGTCTTGTGCTGCAATGCGCGGACTGTGCCAAGCTTGCTCATCGCGGGGAGCTGGCCTGTGATAATGTTGCTGCTGCTTTTGCTGGTGTATCAGCCCCTGCTGAGACTGGACGGGGTGCAGATTTGGGAGGGGACGCTGCGTCTTGGGACGGCTCAGACCTCACAGGTGCAGACGAGGGCGGCGATGGTTTGGCCGTTGCTGGTGCAGCTGGGCCGGCAACAGTGCCGGTTGGAGGCATGGCCGGCGTGACCTTTGGAGAGTCTGCCTTTGAGGCCGTCTTTGGTGTTGCCAGTGGGGATGCCAATGCGCCGGCAACCGCCGGGCCATTTGGAGGCGAGGCCTTCGCAGGAGAGTCGGCCTTTTGCACCGGCGTTTCTGGTCTCGCCGGTGGCACGCCGGGAACCGGGCCGGTTGGAGGGGAGGCTTTTGCAGGGGAGTCTGCCTTTGGCGCTGGGGTTTCCGGCCTTACTGTTGGCGGAACGCCAGCGGGGCCGGTCGGCTGTGAGGCCTTTGCAGCAGAGTCTGAGTCCTGCATCGGCTGCGACGAAACAGGTGCAGCCGAAGGGGGTGATGTTTTGGTGATTGGGGGCGAGTTTGTTGAAAGTGCTCCGGCAGTGCTTGGAGCAGTGCTCGTGGGAGGTGAGGCTTTTGGAAGGTCTGGGGAAGCTGGTGATGCTTTGGCTGTTGGCGCCAGAACTGCTGTGCCGGCGGAGCTGAGGGTGCTCGACGTAGCAGGGGCAGCCCTCGGTAGATGACCAGGCAGTCCGAAGCAAGCTCCCAAAAGGACTGCCATGGCCATGTCGAACTAATGGCTGCCGAGCAGCGGCGGTCCCGGGCTCGCCCCAGGACCTGCCAGACCGCTGGCATGAACTGGATGCATGGAGCCTCCTTCAGAACTTCGGACGAAAGGGTTGTCTGCCGTCGTCGATCCCTGAGCATCCCTAGTCTGCTGTGTCTGCTGCCGACGTCTGCATGCCGTGGCAACCCAACTGCAAGCTCGAAAGCGGAAAAATCTTTACATGGACTTCCACGTCGCTTGGTCCTCTCCATAATTACCCGCTCATGCAGTCAAACTAATGACCCTCCTCGCTTGCTATATTGCATCGACTTCCAGCCTGGGTCGACTGCCTTGCCATTAACGGGTAAAGCCTCCACACCTTCATTCGGTGCTCCGCAAGCAAATGGCAAAGGCCAGTGTCTGCTGCAAATCTACACTTGCACGTTACCGTTCGATGACCTGCGTCAGCGTTGTCCCGCTTGAGCTTGTCCTGGCCAAAGGGAGGCGGACGGGGTACGACGCCCTTCCGCTGCTGTATGACTATTACTTGACATGTCTGTCGAGTTCCTGCCTTCTCCAAACGCAACCAAAGCGGACCGCCGCGAGACTCAGAATCTAGTGCCTGAGAGCATCTTCTGACTCTCTCAGAACTTTTCATAGTCCTGCATCTAAGATGTGCCCTGCCCAGTGGTGCGTTGCTCTGCTTTTCAGTTGCAACTATGTATAGAGTGTGACCAATCCCGCAGATCGCGTCGTTGTTGCAAGACTGAGACTGAGTGCGAGAATTGAAGCAGAGTCGAAACTGAAGTAACAGCTGGCACCACCTAGCTGCATGACCTCGTGAAGTTTGAGGTTGGCCCGGACAAGCTACCGGGACATGTCGACTTGTCTGGCGGACAAGGGCCGCTGCCTGGTAGACTTCGGCATTGTAAACTGCTCTCATGACCTGCCAACGGAATGACTCTACAAAGCGATTTCTCACTGTCGAGGCTGCTGTGCATGAGCAGCAGCATTTATGTACCTGTTCACACAAAATGACCTCACTCGAGGCATGCCGTTCGATCTGACATCAAGAGTAACACTATGACACAACAGATCTCTCACCAATGGATGAAGCCGCAAGTGGCGCCTGTCTGCACGGGCCTTAGTGCCCAACGTGCAAGCAGTGCCGCGGGTAGCCTTGAAGCCTTGACCTAAAGTAATTACAGTATGCGAGTGTCCAGCAAGGCTTGCCCGGCATGCTTCGTGTCCAGAGTCACAAGTGTCTCCAGGCCCCGGGCAGTTCTTTCCAGGCCGTACATAAGCCGGCAGATACTTCTCCGTGCATTTGCAGTTTTTATCCTGCAAGGAATCCGGATCGTCCTCGGAGCCGGTGATCATGCGACTTGACCGTCTGCTGTTGCAAGGGAATCTTGGCCGGCTCAGGCCACTTACTTGAGGTCCACAGACTGAGTTCACAGCATTAGGACAACCGCATTTAGGCATCCGCCGTGGTCGAAACCTTGACGAGCCATATGCACAAGAATTCGGACGGCATGCAGCTGTGCATCCAGTCATTCAAGAACAAAAATCACATGTCGAGCACCGAGATTCGGGCCAACTCTTGTCACAAGTACAGTCCTCGGCCCAAAAAGTGCAGATAGCCCGCACTTGATAGTAATTCGGACAGTAAATGACGAAAGTGCTGAAGAACTTGAACGAAAGAACACGATTGGTGTCTGCTACCGAGTAGCACCCTGTTCGTCACGCATCCGCCTGGACTCACAACGGCGGTTTCATGCAGGAGATAGCCCCAGATGCCATTGCATGCCAAATGCGTTTTGAAAGCTGGATGCCTTGGCGCGCGAGCTAGTGGCACGGAAGCGTCCTTCGTCTGGGAACCTGCGGGTGGAAGACCGGAAGAGGCTCGACGACAGGTAGAAGGCATTCGAAGTTCACTGAAGTAGCTCCACTCATCTGCTGCATAAAGAGCCTGCAGATCGGGCATCGGTTACTGCGCGCACTTGTGAATGCCCGAGTGCATTGGCAAAGCAGAAAGATTTGCCCGAATATGTGGTGAGCGGGCTCTCACATCGACATCGGGCCCCGGTGCGCCGTAGCGTGAAACCTGTGACACCCGTACAGGACTCCGGATTTTCGATGCCGAAGATCCTGACCGGACTGCAGCACGCCCAACGTCTCAAGGATCGCGCGAAGGACAAGAGGCGGCGAATGGCGAATGCAGCGTGCGCTGGACTGCCACATTTGCGCCAGCTTGGTGACCATGGCACTTCCTGGCTCTTCCTGGTGACGCTCCGTGGACAGGGGACCGCAGAAGTTCTTCCTGCCGGTTTTTGTCGCGGAAACAGAGGAACCTTGCCAAAGCCAGGACTGCACCTTGTGAGAAGTCCGCAAGAAGTTGTGGCGCGCATCCCTGGAATCATCTTGCATCACTTTCCAGCTATCGGCCGCCGGTGGGTTCACTCTGCAGCTTGCTATCGGCCACTGGTGTGTCGATTGCTAGTTTTCAAGATTTCTGTAACTGTTGCGGCTGCAGCACTTGAGCACGACCGGAACAAGTCACGCCTGACGAAGCAGCAGAGGCAGCCGTCATACGAGAGGCCTGGCACAATGGAGCACTGGGCAGTTTGGGGAAACTTGCTCGTGCGCCAGGAAAAATCTCGCCGAGCTGCCGATGAACGCGCCACAGATCCACCCGCTGCAGATCCACCCGCCACGGACCTCGGACAGATCGGCAAGAAGCTGTGATATTCGGAACAATTGACTTCCAGCACTTGAGAACGCAAACAGGCAGTCCAATTATATATCTTTTCCGACGCCCTCAAGCCTTCACCCGTCAACAGGTGGCGGATCTCAACTAACTAGCTACTATATGCTGCAAAACGTAGGGCAGCCATCGCAAAACCGCGGCAGCTGGATGGCACTGTCTGATCGTATCTTCGACTACATACGCGGGTTTACATGCGGCCAGCTTTGAAATGGCCATGCCATAATCATAGACCAGAGCTGCTGCATTACTCACCTACTCTTCGTCTGACTGTCAGCCATCATGCTGCTAAGCAAGCCTGCAAGATTTCGTGCCTCGTCAGACAGGCACGCGGGAATGGAATAATCTTTACAAGTGACCCGTTCTTGATGAAGCTTGTATTGAGCTCGCACCTGTCCGCAGTACTTAGCGCAATACTGGGAGCCTCGGCAGGCTGCATCTACATGCGACACTTTAGTTGTTCTTGCTGCATTGCTACGAGTTTGCCCGCGCGTCCCTGTCGACATTCTCAGCAAGGTCTCTTCAAAAGCTCTCAAAACCAAGAAGAATCATTGCCCATCTGCTTGGCAGATGACTGCAATGTCTCTTTGGCCTATGCCACAATCACTTGGTGACTGGCAAACATGGACTCTTGAACTTGCTACTCCTTTAGTTCGCTCAGATTGTGCTTGCTCCTCATCTTCTTGTTTTGCGGCGATCGGCCACTCAGGAGCGTTCTTGGCGAGTGCTCAGTCAGGGAGGAGCCTCCAAACTACGGGTGTGGAATGCAAGGCTGTTGCTGAACAGGCATGAAGGACCCAAGAGCCTAGTCTCAGGGCCGCAATCTCTTGCTTCAGGAAGTGAAGCTCTGTCTCCATGTAAGTGTGGAAGCGACCCTGGCTTTTGATCATCCAGGTCTGGTCCTCAAGCGGCTGCTGCCTGTTTCTTTGTTTGTTTCTTCTGCCTAGAGCTTCGCAGCGGAAGCGTTTTAACCCTGCCAGTGCGTTGTTACGTGCCTTTTCGTGTTTGCTGTGTCGAAGCCCTGTGTCCGTTTTGGCCTGTCCGAAGAACATCAATGCAGTGGGCACTAGTCAACTCTTACATATGTCCCTGTAGACGTGATGTGGGGGCTTAAGCTTTTGAATTTGTGGTTCAGAGCTTGGGGTTAAAAAGGTAAAAGGCTTCGAGTCAACAAGGGCTTAGGGAGGGTGCATTTAGGGGGGTGTAGGGTGGGGTGCAGGGTTTAAAGTACAGGACTAAAGTACCGGTTGCGGCGAATAAAAACAGGAGCACGCATTACGATACATGGTTTATGGCTTGCGTAAGACCGCTGCCCTCTGCGGCCCTGGCCGGCAGAATCCCACCCTCCAGCTGCAGCCCCCCTCTTTCCGCACACCCTTGCCCCACCCCTCGACCAGGGTCCCGGGAATGACAGACGCTTGACCACATGTGTGCGTACATACATGCATGCATGCAAACAGACAAAAATGTCTCGATATGTTAATCAGCACGTGTGGCTATGTAAGCATGTCCAAAGCATGAGTACATAAACATACATACATGCTCACATACTTGATATTCTCTACGTGTACATGTATATGGTGCCCCCCCACGTACCTACCCTCATTTATGCTTTCCGGCTCAGCTCCCGTACACAGTCCCAATCGTGCTCCCCTACACCGACTCCAAACTACGCGGTCGTGCTCCCGTACACAATCCCAAAACATTGGAACCTCTCATGGTTTTCGCATCCTAGAGGCCCAAAACCATGAGAAATCCCAATGTCTTGGGCCCGTATAGCTTGGGACCTCTCAGCACTTTCGCACTCCAGAGTCCCAAAAGCGTGAAAGGTCCCAATGTTTTGAGGGTTTAGAGCCCAAAACCCTGTAAGGTCCCAATAAAACCAATAAAACCAATGTTCTGGCTGTCTCCAGGCTCATGCTTCCCAAAGACTCTGAAAACATGGCTTCTATTGGTTTTATTGGGACCATGATTTCCTGCTCCTACACCCTGAAAACATTGGAACCTCTGATGGTTTTCGCATCCCGGGGGCTTAAAACCATGAGAGGTCCCAATGTTTTGGACGCGTATAGCACAAAACATTGGGACCTCTCAGCACTTTCGCCCTCCAGAATCCCAAAAGCATGAAAGATCCTAATCTTTTAAGGGTTTAGAACCCTGTAAGGTCCCAATAAAACCAATAAAACCAATGTTCTAGGGGTCTCTGGGGA